CTGGTCTGCTTGAGAAGAAAAATGCAATGGAATGACAGCTGTAGCCATGCTAATTCCCTTCTCTGGAAGCAATGAACCAGTTGTCAGAGATTTGGCAATGCCAGGATTTAATTTGCAATACAAGGTCAACGATTTCAGTGAAAGCCATTTTAAGATCAGCCTTAAAACAAACCAAAAAAAAAGTGACTGTACAAATTAGATTTTTAGTGATTATTAACCTGGGCCCAACAGGATATGGTCAACGGGTTACTTGCAAGCAGGTTATATTGCAGTTATCAACCTGCTTGCAAGTTTGAGGCCAGATTTTAAAACGTGATTCCTGTTGTAGGCTGCTTGAATTTCAACAAACATGCTACTCCGAGGTCCAAAGTTGTAGCCAGAGTGAAAATTCCATAATGGTGCTCATTAGTTCATTAAGTCAAGTGTTCCTGAAAAGCCAAAAACAAGGTTTGGCTTGATAAATTGATAGCGTTTATAACGGTTATTTTTCTTTTCTTTCTTTTCTAATGAAAAGAACGCTACTTTGGACTTTCTTGACAATATAGGTCATACAGATAGTTTGGCAAATATATCAGTTTTCTGATTGGCTCCATCTTTTGCAAGTTATACAAGTGATAGGTTTTTAGGGGGTGTGGTGGCTGTTGATAACGCACTAATTTATTGAAATTATGATTTGCTGACAGATTCTACCCATTGTTCTCTGAACTTATCATTCTCATTGCCCCTCTGTGCTCATAGCTCTTCTCCGTCCATCTTTTTCTATTTGTCTCCTAATCCTGCCCACTGCTCAGACTTCACTCTGCTGTCCGTGTGTCCTTCTCACCGATCTGGCCTCTGGCACTGGCCTCACACCTATTTTCTTCATCTGCTTGTCGCAACTCTTAGTAATCGGGTCACATTTTACTTTTTAGCAGTTCTTTCCTACTTTAGAGGCCTTCAAATTAAATTCCCAGGAATTGCACTGGGAACGCACATTCAGGTATCAATGTTTAGGCCAGAACCAATACATTGCCCACGTCTCTTTATGCCCTACAGCCAGGTCACATGCTCTCTGATTCTTCTACAGCTCACGGTGGCTCGATTCTTCTTTTTTTTTTTTTAACATCTTTATTGGAGTATAATTGCTTTACAATGGTGTCTTAGTTTCTCCTTTATAACAAAGTGAATCAGCTATACCTATACATATATCTCCATATCTCCTCCCTCTTGCATCTCCCTCCCACCCTCCCTATCCCATCCCTCTAGGTGGACACAAAGCACCGAGCTGATCTCCCTGTGCTATGTGGTTACTTCCCACTAGCCATCTATTTTACATTTGGTAGTGCATATATGTCCATGCTACTCTCTCACTTCGTCCCAGCTTGCCCGTCCCCTTCCCCGCATCCTCAAGTCCATTCTCTACATCTGCGTCTTTATTCCTGTCCTGCCCAGAGGTTCTTCAGAACCATTTTTTAGAAAAATTTAGATTCCATATATATGTGTTAGCATACGGTATTTGTTTTTCTCTTTCTGACTTACTCCACTCTGTATGACAGATTCTAGGTCCATCCACCTCCCTGCAAATAACTCTATTTCATTTCTTTTTATGGCTGAGTAATATTCCATTGTATCTATGTGCCACATCTTCTTTATCCATTCATCTATCAATGGACTTAGGTTGCTTCCATGTCCTGGCTATTGTAAATAGTGCTGCAGTGAACATTGTGGGACGGGTCTCTTTTTCATTCACAGTTTTCTCAGGGTATACGCCCAGTAGTGGGATTGCTGGGTCATACGATAGTTCTATTTGTAGTTTTTTAAGGAACCTCCATACTGTTCTCCATAGTGGCTGTACCAATTTACATTCCCACCAACAGTGCAAGAAGGTTCCCTTTTCTCCACACCCTCTCCAGCATTTATTGTTTGTAGATTTTTGATGACGGCTATTCTGACTGGTGTGAGGTGATACCTCATTGTAGTTTTGATTTGCCTTTCTCTAATGATTAGTGATGTTGAGCATTCTTTCATGTGTTTGTTGGCTATCTGTATATCTTCTTTGGAGAAATGCCTATTTAGGTCTTCTGCCCATTTTTGGATTGGGTTGTTTTTTTGATATTGAGTTGCATGAGCTGCTTGTAAATTTTGGAGGTTAATCCTTTCTCAGTTGCTACATTTGCAAATATTTTCTCCCATTCTGAGGGTTGTCTTTTCATCTTGTTTATGGTTTCCTTTGTTGTGCAAACTATCAAAAGTTAAATACAAAGAAAAAATATTAAAAACAGCACGGGAAAAACAACAAAAAACACACAAGGGAATCCCCATAAGGTTAACAGCTGATATTTCAGCAGAAACTCTGAGAGCCAGACGGGAGTGGCAGGACATATTTAAAGTGATGAAAGGGAAAAACCTACAACCAAGATTACTCTACCCAGCAAGGATCTCATTCAGATTTGATGGAGAAATTAAAACCTTTACAGACAAGCAAAAGCTAAGAGAGTTCAGCACCACCAAACCAGCTTTACAACAAATGCTAAAGGAAATTTTCTAGGCAGGAAACACAAGAGAAGAAAAAGACCTACAGTAACAAACCCAAAACAATTAAGAAAATGGTAATAGGAACATACATATTGATAATTACCTTAAAGGTAAGTGGATGAAATGCTCCAGCCAAAAGACATAGACTGGCTGAATGGATACAAAAACAAGACCTGTATATATGCTGTCTACAAGAGACCCACTTCAGACCCAGGGACACATAACAGACTGAAAGTGAGGGGATGGAAAAAGATATTCCATGCAAATGTAAATCAAAAGAACGCTGGAGTAGCAATTCTCATATCAGACAAAATAGACTTTAAAATAAAGACTATTACAAGAGACAAGGAAGGACAGTACATAATGATCAATCCAAGAAGAAGATATGATAATTGTAAATATTTATGCACCCAACATAGGGGCACATCAATACATAAAGCAAATGCTAACAGCCATAGAAGGGGAAATCGACAGTAACACAATCATAGTAGGGGACTTTAACACCCCACTTTCATCGATTATTCTTTATTACCTCTGTTTGGCAGGCTGTCTCTCAGTTGTAAGGCATATGACTACAAGCCCCAAATTCTAGCTCATGGAGCCTTGGAGAGTGACATTCCTTATTGCAAATGATACTTGATCTAAGCTCCCAGAGATTCCAAGCAGGGAGGGAACTTCTGCCACACCTTTTACTCATGAGACCAAGGAATACTCGGTTTTACTTCTCTAGTGATACCTGCTTTTAAAATGATACACCACTTGGTTCTATCAAAGTATTTTCTAGATTCAACTACATGCTTTCTATGAGAAAATGAAGGGATCGTGATCTTATTTCACAGCTGTACTCAGTCTTACTGTACCAGTATTGCATTCTGAATACTGGTGCAGAAAGATGTTTAAAATGCAGCCTTCTGTGAAGGGAGAGAAGTTGTCTGCCTCATTTGGAACTCTCCTGAGCACTGTATTGATGTGAATAGAGCCAACCTGTGCTTCTTGGCTTGCATGTTTTGAATTCTATGTCTCCACATAAATTTATGATGAGAAAAACATGACCAACTTTACAAATTACAAACATTTTAAAGACAAATATTAGCTGTTAGATTGATACCAAATTCAAGGAAATAAAAGAAAACAGATTTCCACTTCACGTTCATTCCCAGTAATAGATGTTTTTGAATTCCTCTTCAGTCCCTGTGCCATGGAAAAAACAAGCAAGTTGAACTTCAATTTCTGTTACTTGACTAAAATTTTCTCATTTTGATGTCAGTTTTTTCTTTTAAATAATTTTACACGTATTTCCCTTATTTTAGGAAGTAATTGATATACCCTTTGCATCTTTCATGTCGCTCTTGCATAAAAAAGAGTTTTAAAATTAACACTAAAAGGACTGAAATCTTTCCTTTTGCAACATTGATTGCCATGTAAGAGCTCACTTGCCCTTTGTAGAGTGACTTTTTAAAACTATGACTGAGACCTCTGGATAAAAAAAAATATGTCATATATATCATTCATACATGATGTACTTTGTTTTACTGCCAAATACTGATAACCATTTCAAAAGGCAAATTCCAAGTTTAAAAGGCTCTTTTGGTGACTATTTACAGTAATCTAATAAATGCTGGGACTATCACTCACTTCCCATTTATTATAATCATCTGGCCCCGGATTGTATTCTAGTGTAGTATTTTTATCAATTGAAATAATATCAAGTGGAATAGCTTACAGATTGAATTTGATAACTTATTGCGTGACTCTAGGAGTTTTATGAGTGCTACAAACACATTTCCTTTGGTGAAGTGTGTGTGTTCCATATCTTTGCTGGATAATGTTCTCAGGATTTAATCTGCTTGCTACCTAAGTACACATATCTACCATTGACTTTATCAGATATTATCTACTATGACAGTCACAGAACGAGATTCTAATTTTTAAAAAGAGAAATATAAAAGCTACCAAAAGCATGTGACAGCAAGTTTTCATCATAAACTTCAGTGCAGTGTGTACTGGCCACATTTTAGGCGTAAACACGGGAGGTATAGGCTGTCTAGATGACGTTTGAACCTTCCCTACAGATTACTTTTGTAAAACATCTTGTGACAATTTGCCAGCTCTCAGTTTATTAGGCTAAGCTAAGCAAACAAGAACAACAATGAAAACAAGTTACCATCTGTATAGCATGGCGAACTATACTCAATATTTTGTAATAACCTATAAGAGAAAAGAATCTGAAAAGGAATATGTATATGTATAATTGAATCACTGTGCTGTACACTGGAAACTAACATGACATTGTAAATCAACTATACTTCAATAAAGTTTAAAAAATTTTTTTAAAAAGGCACCAAATCAAATCCTATTGACTTTATACTGAGATTTTGGGGGACCATTAAGAAGTATCATAGCTCTATCTCTCCTACTCCAAATTGCTTAATATGTCTTAAAATGGGACCAATTTATTCTAGTTTTCAACTGTTTTTCTTTTTTAGAGGAACTTGACTTAAATCTGTGCATTGCCAAGGGCAAGAAGCCGAGAACATGGATAGACAGGTAAGACTGATAAAACGGTAGCCCCTTCTTTGATTTTTATTTTTTTTCTTTAAAAGCAGCCTTTTAAGCTTTATTTTTCGTAATATTATCTGTGGAGGGAAAGTACAGAAGTGAGCAGAAATGTAGTCTCTTTTGCAGCACTTACGAATAAAGAGGTTGATGAACGAGTGTAGCAGACAGTGTAATAGCAAAAGAGTCTCTAGAAGTTAAACAGAAGTGCGTTCCGCGTTTCCAAGGCTCCCGTCATCCGTAGTAGGGCTTCACTGTGCCCGCCCCCTGTTCTATTTTTGATTAGATTCATAAACACAGCACCACATATTTTCATGTGGCTTATCGCCCAGGGGCAGAACTAGATTGACTGCACTGAAACTGTGAGGCCTGTGAGTTTTGGGCAAGGGCTAGAGTGAAATAAGTAGCGTAATTGTTTTTGTGGAGTGACCGTGGGACCTCCTCTGTTCTGAATTACACATGGCTCAACCCTTTGACCTAACCAGACTTGGCAGTGGCTGGCGGAGCTCCTGAAGCTGTGCTGAAAGGGTCCATCACTGACAAGTTGGAAGGTTCTCTGTCAGGCGAGGTGCGGGCCAACAATCATATTAAACTAGAGTAATTACCAGCGAGACCACGTCTGTGAACACCTCAACTTCATTTAACCCGTCATGATTATTTCAACAGGAAGCGCCAATGTGAGAAATTTGTGGAATCCAAATGTAGCATTGGGCCCTTTGATTAAAGAAGGTATATAAATATAATTTACTAAATTTTGGATCATCTTCAAGGATGTTTTGCCAAATTATTCAAACATTATTATGATGATTTTTTAAAAAATACATAAGGTTTGGGAAAATGCTATAAGCCATAACTAAAATTCTTTCATTGCAATGAGCTTAATTTAAATTCTTGAAAGATAGATGACAGCCCACTGATTTAATGCCTCAGAGGAATCAAAACTGAGGTGGATGCACAGAACTTCTAGAAAAGGTTGGAGAGAATCATGTGCTGACATTTTTGCATTTGCTGGAAATTTAATCTGTGATTCACATGATAATGATTTAGATGAATATATCTATATCTATGTATGATATGGAAGTCAGTCACCTGAAGTTTTATTTTCGATTCAGTTCTTAAATTTTCAAAGGCAGTATAAGCAGAGGACTTTGGTTTACTTTCAAGCACTTGACATTTTTTTCCAAAGCTAGTCCTATTTCTGAAAGATATCTAAAAAGTTTTTATCTACTTTTTTTTTTTCATGGCCAGTTTTACAAATTAAAGGTCTGTATAGGTGTTTTATCTTACAACAACTTGGAAATCATTTAGCATTGAATTGTTTTCTTTCTCATCTGAGGCAACTCAGGCTGAATATTAATTCAGTTCATAGTTAAATGACATTTAATTTTTTAAAAAAGAATATGCAACTTTATATTTTTTGAGTGTTATTCTTCTACTCTGGGAGCTCTAAAAGATGAAAATGCAGAGGTCCTTATCAGATCATTTACAGAAGAAAAAACACTATAATACCCTATAAGCCCTCCCAGTAAAGTTGCATTCAGCCCTACCCAGTCTTACTCTCATTAGCAGTGAAGAGTGTGCTCCCCACGTAATCTAACATGGAATGCTTAGAGCAGACAGGTGCAAATTGCAAGCTGTTTCACTTTGGCTGTTATCCCTTAAATCGACAAAGTAATGGACTGGGAGAACAAAAAGAGTTCCAGCTCAAGCCGAATAAATGAAAGTCTTAACAGGGACACACCAGCTGGCTAGGAGAATTCAATGTCGTGCACACTAAATGTTTACCTTTATGCTACTTGCCAAGGAAGACGGCTTCAATGACACCCCCTACCTTTTATTATTGAGGTGATGTTGCTTCCAAACCGTATTTTGCTTTATTGTAAAGGCAACACGATGGCCGAAGTGGGGGAGAACAGAAGCCAACATACCTGTTCCTGTTTACCATCATTACTCTCCTCGCAGCAATTCAGGCATGATTGGGTTCCTGGAGGTGGACCAGATTGACAGTATTTCTATCCGTGCCTTTTTTTTTTTTTTTTTTTTTTGGCTGATCCTAGCAAAGCCCCAGAGCAGTGAAACAACAAAAACAATCACCACCACCCCTCCTCCCCAACATGATGACGCTACTGAGCTAGTTGGCCGAAGAAAAAAAAACAACAGTGGTTCATGTTAGGAACACCTAAATTAATTTCGTGGAAGAGACATGCCACGCCAGGCTACGTAGGAATCTAAGGTATGCATCTCTGAAAAGGGACCCTGAGTCTGTCATTCCAAAGTTGCTTCTTCCCATGACTCCCCGGTACGCCCTGGAACCGCTGTCTGGAAGAAGGAACTTTAACTTTGGCTCTGAGGCCGCTGAGCGGGTCTGACTGCGGGGTCCTCCGCGCACGTGAAGGAGGGCGAAGACCCCGGAGCCGGCCTTGTTTACAGCCGGACGGGGGAAAACATCCAGACACAGATGCGGGCTGACGGTTTCATGAAGCACAATCGGTTGATCCCAGATGCAATCTGACTGCCCTGAACTGAGCGATGAGCTGTGCAGTATGCAGAATTCATTCTCTTGCTGGTCTGTGCCCACCAGGCCTGGAGCCGCGCTGCCCGCGCCCCTCGGCCGTGGCTGTGAGGGCAGCCAGAGCTGGGCGCTGCACCCGGGGACCCGATGCCTCCTGACGACAAATCACATTCTTTTACAAACTTCCTAGGTTTTGGTTGTCACGGGTTAGAAATGATTTTGTTGCTGTGGCGCGCGTTTGTTACTCGATCGTTGATTTCCTTTCGAGTTGAGCGAGTCGGCATCAAAAGCTATTTGCTGCTTTTTAATGCAAAGGAAAATATCATCGAAAACACTGTCAGTTCTTACAAATTTCAGGCAGTTTTTTTCCCCCTTTGTTCAGATCACAAAGTATTACTTATTTTCTTCTACACTCTTGTCATATACTTATATTTGATAGAAGAACCTTCCCAAAATTTCAGAGAAAGACCTGTAAGAGAAATAGATTTATCACTAAGCACACTTATAAATGTGTTACTAGAAACTGGTCATTTTGATTTTAAAGTTAGAGTATATTATATCAGTTAAATAGAAATGTGAAGGAAAAAAGCCATGAGGAATATCCATAGTAGTATTAGTTAAGACTTCTATATATTTTGCTTTCTTTTTTCAGAACTAAATAGATATCAGTGAGAAGCAGGAAGATACTAGGGAATAAATTTTGTTTCTTTAATTTAATTTTTGGGATACAATACGGATACTTAACACATTAATGTGAACTTATTAAAAATAATAACACATGAGTATGCTAACTTATCAAGTGGTAATGAATGAAGGAATTGATGTAAAATGTAACCGAAGGATTATTTAGTATGAGCTAAAGAGATAAAATCTCATCAAGAAAGAGAGAATCTAAATTGAGAAGATGGTGGAGGAAAATGCAATTTACACCACTTAAAGGTGCCCATGTGTAAAGGAGAGAAAAGAGTGAGGAAATTGACAAAGGAGAGAAGTCGGAAATCACTCCCAATTTCCTCTTGAACATGTGTTACTAGTAAAGAGGTCACAGAATATAAACCATCACTTGGTAATCCTCTCAAAGACTTTATCTCTGGTGTGTACGATCAGACTTTGCTTTCTTTTTGAATATGTGAACTTGTGAAAATATCTGAGACCCTTTTAACATTGGAGAGCAAGTAC